CAGCGTAAAACAGGCTCACTGAATGATGCCCAGCATGATGGATATTTGCTGCTGCCATGTTTCTCACAGCCTTTCTTGGATTGTCCATAGAGCATTTAGAAATGGCTTTGAATTCCTTCTCTGCTCAGTTCTCTGCTGAGGTCTAGCAGTGTTTAGAAACAGCCGTAGTTTAAGAAGATTAATTATTGTCTATAATAAATTTAGGGTGAATTGCAGGGAAATATGCAGTGCCTAAGTAATTTTTCTCTTAGTTTAGAGGATTACTTATTTGGGGTGTTCTCTTGTTGTTAGGGTGTAGTTGTTTTGTTTTCAGTTCTCATTTTTGCTGAGTGCTTGTGTGTGAATTCAAGCTTTGAAACTGAAAGGAAACCAATTTTAAATGAGTCTCTTTTCAATTAACCCTCATAGAATACCATGGGACCATCTCTGCCCATAACTAACTTTGTGCTGGGGTGTGATCCCAGAGGATGACTTGTTTACTTGCTGAATCTGGCTCCCTTCCAAAATCTTCAGTTTAATCTTTTGACACTGTAGCTCCCTGTCTTTTTTTCATCTGGCCACATATCCTTAATCACCTTTTCATTCTTTCTCATCTGCCAGACCTGACTTGCTCTTATTTCTCCTCTTCTTGTTTGTTGTGTGAGCACCTCGCTCAAGGCAGTTTCATTTTTTCAGCTGGCACTGCTTTAGCAAGAATTTAGAAAGAACTGAAATTCATAAAGCTAGCAGGTGTTCTGCTTTTGTAAAACAAACAAAATTTTAGCTGTAAAAATAATTCCACAGGTAACCCTTAGAAAATATGTAAGTCTTTTATGTTTGTTTTCTGCTATTTTTAATATCCCAGATCTGTCACATGCACAGTTAATTTGAAACACATAGCAAGTAATCAGAGACAGAAACAACGTACAATCCTTGTATAGACTGCAATAGGGAAAGCTAAGGACTGTATTTGTAAAGTTAGAATTCTTTTTTGGGGAGGAGTAAGATGTGATGTGGATGTTATTTAGAAGCCTTGGTGAGGCATTAGTTGTTGAATTGCACAAGAGAATAGAAGGGCTTCATGAAAATTTCAGTGCATGCGAAGGAATGCAATTTCAAAGTAGTTGAATGAATTTAGTTTGAAATGTGGAGTTGAAAGCAATAATGCTTTCCAAAAGATTTTGTGTAAAATATACCAAACTGATGTATTGAAGTTAAGCAAGTGAAGTAGAATCGAAAACATCAGTACTGTCCCCAGTTAAATAACTTGTAATAAATTTAGTATAATATTCTTTTATTATATTTGTCACATTTACTTAAATATGAACTTCAAATTAAGAGCAATCCTTTCAGTGAGGTGATCAGTGGTAGGTGTTTGTCAAAAGCAATCCTGCAAAAACAGCCTGAAGAGGATGGAGCACTGTCTTATCTATCAGATGCTATTTCTCCCCAGCACTGTCCTGAATAGAAGAGTATCATAGACTTTCTCATTTCTAGTTTCTATCTCACAGTGCTGTCTAAACATCTCTAGTTATTGTTAATAATTTCTTATACTTCAATCTTACATGAAAGTGTCCAATTTTAGTCATCCATTATTTCAGTCATTGCTGCTACATTTTAAGAACCTTGCAGATAAGTCACTAATATAAAAAGTTAAAAGAGCACGTTTACCAAGCTTCACCTATCCTTTAGAATAGCTTTGCTCTTAGATATCTTGGGATTGTAATGATTTTCCTTTTGTTTCTTTTAAGATGATCTTCACATGCAGTTGTAACTTTTTGTGCAACTGTTGTTGTTTTTTTTAAAGCCTTCGCAATTGATGAAGCTCCCCAGCCATCACTTTCTGGTTAAATTCAAAGAGTATTCCCAGTGAAGATGTCCAAAATTCAGGTGTTCAAAAGGCCTGTATATTGAACACCACCTTCTTCCTACAATAAACAAAAAAGATGTCTTTGTGTATGCTCCATCTGTATTAATAGACTCTTTTTACTGTGATTTTAAACTCTTACAAATGACATTGTTTTATTTAATGTTAGTAACCCATGCCTTGTTTGATTCCTAGTTTATTGGTTTCAGTCAGCATCCACAAGTAGCATTTTACTTGGCTGTTCCGCGTTTCTCAGCATTTTGGGACAGATGCAACCACTGGATGAAATCTGAATACTGGAAACCATAGTTCTAGAATTTGGTCATTATACAGTAGTTGATGATATAGATCCCTGTTATTCTTAGGCTGCTGCACACCATTTTTGTTGGTACATATATAATGTAGGCCTGATATTTTCCTCAAAGATTGATTGCTTATTTTTTTTTTAGCTAATGAATTGCTAACCACTTTCACAGTCATCAGGAGAATCCCTCATTCTATTAAATATCAAAGTTTGTGATACTAAAAAAAAAAAATCCACGACATTTCTTCATGATTTCTGCGAACTTTAGAGTAATGCAGTCCCAATTTTGACTGGACTGGAGTCATGGTAGTGTAGTTAAATGTCACTATACATAAAAAAATATAAAGAACAATTACTGTGGGAGAAAAATGTTATCCTAATTTGAATCAAATTGTTAGCGCTAGTGTTGACATCACTGGATGAATTATTGAGGATGTTTTAAGGTAGAATTAAATGCTGTCATTGTTGATCAGTGGAGTGTAGGCTGTAGAAATGCAGTTATCATGAACTTAACATAGATCAGAAGGTGTCCACGCAATCCTTGAAGAATGATAAATGACAGAAGACTGGCATCTTCGAATCCACTGCCTACCAGGTTTATTATTTGGTTCTTTCATTTTATCTGTCTGATAATGGAACGTTTCTTGTTTTGCAAGATTCCTTTGCATGAAGTGGCAGCAAAGTTTTCAGAAGCATGCATCTCATATGAGTTGTCGTCTGAAGCAATTTCTACATGCTTTGGTATAACATTTGAGTGAACACAGAATATTTCTGGAGTACGTGTTATGGGTGTGCAGGATCCTAGATACACAAAGCAAAAAACTGTCTTCCCTTCTGAGAAAGCAGCTCTTTCTTTTCTGGAAAGGCAGTGCTGAATAAAGTCTGATCTTGATAATCAGATAAATTAACATACTCCAAAGTATTTGGAGCCAGATTAAACTGCACCAAACTGTGTAGGTTCAGGATCAAAATAGTCTTTGCTCAGTTTAGTTTATTTCACTTTCAAAATAAGCAAAGGGAATTAGAAGTGCTTTAGTTCTGCAAATGTCTGCACATGGGCTCAGTGTACTTTTACCAATCTGAATTCAGTACTTTTCTGTACAGAGTGTATAATTCTGTACTTCTACACTGAATTCATAGCTTGCATTCAGAATTAGTTTACCTTAAAAGCATCATGATTGAAGGCTGGGGTAATTTTCATATCTGGTGATGAACACTGAACCACTTACCATAGGTGTTCACAGAACCTTTAGCTTTCTCACCAAAACACGGACAGATGATTTGTTTTTCTTCTGCAATCTCTAACAACCAAAACATATATCTAAAAACATTCTACGGAAGACACTGCTTACCAAAGTTTCTGTGCTACATTCCACAGCATAACTTTCTTTAACTGTTGCATTTCTTATAGAAGAAATTTATTAAAATTTATGTTTTTAGAAGCAAAGCAACACAGGTAAAGAAAGGGACCATTCTGTATCAGAGAAACTGATGTATTTGGGAAAATAAATACAAGTGAGAAGTGGGGAAGCTAACTGTAAGTTGCCAGAACTCATGCTGAATGCTAAGAGATTTGTGCTGCTTGAGAGTGCCATGTGCTTTGTGTACCTCAGTGACATGGGCTCTTTTGGAAAGAAGTCAAAATGGCTTTGCTTGAGCAGAGCCAAATTGCACCTGTTCTGTATTCTGCCCATTGCTAATTTATGTTAATATTCTACATCCATTTAAGAGGAAAAGATGTGCCCAAAAAGATGTGTCCTTGAATGTAATTGGCTGTGAGTATTCTGTAATTTAGAATAGTACAAGCTACTGTTGATATCTCTCAGGATGTTCTCTAACCAGCCAGTCAGTATTTTTTAACTCTGGACTGTTTGGGATGTTATCATGAATCTAGCTGGGTGACTGCAGCATGCTGGGTAATCCTAAGTGATTAAGAACTGCTGCAAGTCCTTTGAGATGGGTGGCAAAAGTGTTCTGTATGGACTAACAGAGAGTCTGGAAAGGGGTAGTAATGATGCAGCTGAGCAGTAGAAAGTGTGAAGAGTAGCTTTTCTAAAATATAGGCTTAGTTAGAGCTCTGCAGATGCAGCTGTCAATTCTTTTATATTTCCTCATTAAAACTCTGTGATTTGGTAAGGATTTGCTGTGGTTCTTGGGCATTTCCTGGTATAAGAAATATCTATAAGAATTTGGTCATAAACTGCCTGTATGGTTGGAGTAGCATGCCCAAACCCAGTCTATCCTGGACAAAAATATGGATGCCTTCAGATCTACCTTTTTGTTCATAAAGACAAAGACAATAGAGTCTTTGTGTCAAGGAAATGTCTGTCTGCTGTCATAGTTAGATGGACACATGCATTGCTTTCATGTAAAACATTTGTTTTCATAGAACCTTTCCTGGAGAAAGATGGGTTGAAATTTAAGGAGTGTAGCATGACCCTCCTGAAATACACGCAAAGCAGATAAGGTAAAGATCTCAGTTTATCCCAGTGTATGCTACCAGCAAGAGTTTACTCTACTGAAACAACAAAACTGATTGATCAACCTCATTGGTGACAGTAACCAGACTAAAGGCCATGTCTGCTTTGTCTTTATAATGTGAAGCATATAAGTAGAAGCTATTCACATAAATAAAGATTGCAGGATAAGAATGCAGAAACAAATCCTTTCTCTAAGAGGGAACCTTCCCTTATTTAACTTAAAGGAAATTTGGCCAGGCTTTGGTGTGGTGCCATTAATATGGCTCCAAGTGCACTGTGAGTTCTTGGATACAATGTAAACTGCATCGTTGCCATGTTTCATTCATGTGGAATGGTTAACAATATCCTCATTTCACCTTGTTTATTTCAGATTGCCAGGCTACCTCTGATGTTAACTTATCAGATGCCAGAGGAGCATCAGAAAAAGCAGATCTTGGTTTTGAAACAGAGGTACTTACTGAGACATTAGAAACTAACCAGGACTCAGTATTGGTGATTCCAGCAAGAATATCGTGTGAGGTAAGGTATTTGAATGCTGAAGTCTATGGGATGAAGGTCAATGTTCTTCTTTTTCTCATTTGTACTGTGTCAGTTTTGAAAACAAACCTCAGATAAATGTCCAAAATGAGAGTGCTTTGAGAATGCAGTCAGATTTTTTTGTTTTGTCTCACATCCATACTGGACCACCAGGTTTGCAAACTGAAATAGTTTTTAGCCTCAGAGAGATTTTATTTCTATAAGACTTGTTTGGTAGTTTGGGTAGAGATGTTATTGCCACAAGGACCTTGTAGTTGAAGAGGGGAGCATGTGACTGATGACTTTTGGAGGGATACAGAGCCTCTCTTTAGAGGAATACTTAGTGAATACATACATAGGTACTGATACCAGGTGAGTTACGCAATGAGTGGTTCTGTGAGCAAACGCTTTGCCTAATTCTAAACTGAAATCAGAAATATTTTTATATACATATCTAATAGGCAGAAATGTTCCTGTATGTTCTTTTCTTTTATCAAGGTTGCTGTGGGAGTATATGTGGGAATGTAAAAAAAGAATGTACTTTATCCAGCACTGCATTCGTTTGTGTAAGTGAATGGCCATGGTCAGATGGAGATTGCAGTGTACTTGAAATGTCACATATTTTGATTATTGGCTGTCAGAAGGCAGTTCATGTCAGCTCTCTGGGACAGGTTACAGCTGAATATCAGTAACAATGTACCATTTATACCATATCCTATACATATGTTAACAGTACGTTAGCGTAAGTCACTATAGTTTAAAACAGTGTTGCTGCTACTTGGAAACATTGAAGTGTGAACCACTGGGGGCAGAACAACTAACAGACTGAAGAAAACCGCTTCATCTCATGACTTGTTTGCTCTGTTTTTTGTTTTTTGTTTTTTTTTTTTTCTCTGCTTCAGTCTTGTTAGGACTATGTAATTTGCAGCAATAAAACTGATTTTATGCATCAAATGTGGTTTACAGACATTATTTCATTTATGAAATCAGTTAAGTTATAGCAGAGTAGCATTCCCCCTGCTTCAGGAGGCAGTAGAAAACTACTGGCTCAGGTTGCTTCCATCTTACTTCCCTGTCAGCTTGCTTGAAGAATTTAAGTGAGTTGTAAGTATTTCAGGTTCTCAGCTGAATGTCATTTTTCTAGGCTGTACAGTAGGATTGTCATAGAAAAAGGATACTTGCATCTGCATTTAAAATACAGTTTAAGAATGTTGTTAGGTAAGCTGAATTTAAAACACAAGATTAATGTTGTCATTTATTGTATATAAAATATTAAAGGATAACACTAAGATGGCAGAATATTTTGGTATTATGATATTTTTGCATGAAGGTACTGGTTTTAAAAAAAACAAAAACAAAAAAAAAAAAAACTTCCAACTTAAGTTTCAATTTGCATTTTACAATTTCAGTATAATTTTGTGAAGGACTAATGGAAACATATTTTAATTTTCTAGAACCCTGGTGAAATATTCATTTTGTTGAAAGATGAAATAGATGATGAAACCTTAGAAATTGAATTCATAGCAGATAATCAACGAATTAGGACACAGCCAGCCTCTTGGAATAAGAAGGTCAAGTACATGAAAGCATTAGGTAAGAAAAAAAAAATCTTTACTTTTAAGTACTCAAATTCTTTACTTCCTTCACTTTTTATAATAGTTTCACTTCCCACTGCTTTGTAGGTGTTTCCTGTACATGCGTTTTGCATACAGAACGTTTATTAATAATGCAGGGAGGCAAAGTCTTGTGATTTATGGGAAACTCGGTTCTATTAGATTGTTTTTGTGTAGTTAAATGACAGGTGGCAGTCCTAAAATGTCGTTGATTAGTCAGAGATTAAAATTCTCCAAAAACACTGCCATAAAATGGAAAGCTAATATTCTTTTCTTATTACTCTATTACTGAAATGTTTCATTTTATATCTAATGCAGTAACTTTGGTTAAAGTCACTCTATAATTCTTACTGGCATAGGAGTTATTTGTTCTTTGCTCCTTTTTCGTATTCATGTTATTTCTCTGTGTCAGTTGGATCTGCTGATTTCTAACAATTCTTTTCGACTGTTCCATATGTAATTTTAGTTGCCATTCTTCCCTGTTTTGCCAGGGAAATGATAAGCAAAGGGAAAACAAAGAACAACTTTTGTCTCAGGAGATAAGCAGTGCCAATGGGAGGCTCACACCTATACACTCATCCATTTGATGAGAGTTATGAATTAAAACATTTATGACCTGAGTAATCATAGTGTAGCTTGCCAGCCTATTGCATGCTGTGAATTCCTGGACAAATTTGCGTAATATTTTATATTATAACCATTGCAATACAGTGTTAGACAGGAAGAAAAAAATTATAAAGGCTTCAGGCTTCTTGGCACTGCTTTTGAGTAACTCTGTGGCCTGATTTTTTACTTAGACACCATGCATGTGCCCTGGGAATTCTTTAGTACTATGACGGTGAAAAGTCTGTTTTCGGAGATCTCTATGGGAATTACATCACCAACAGTAAATTTTCATTAGTAACTGGATTTCAGAGAAGAAAAGCTCAAATCCTCATTCATAAGTCTTACAGAATTCTTCTGTAAGAACATTATTGATCATGGTAAGGCTTCAATAGTGGCTGAAGTACTAAAATATGGACAGTGAATGAAATACTATGAAAAGCATGGCAGAGAGCTGCAGCCCACACTTTATTTCACTTCTTATATGTTTTTAACACTTTTCTATGTAGTCTTTGCTGTAAAATCTGGAAATATTTTGGAATAACTTCTTATACTGAGGGTCTAGCTAATCTAATGTTAAAAGAAAAACATTAAAAAAAAAAAGTTTAGGCACTTTCCATTTAAGTGATTTAAGTTAACATTCTATTCATTCAGTTTCTTTGGCTTTATTACTCTTCTCTGTTTGCAGGGTTGTCTTTTTTAGTGGGCAGAGTTAGAATTCTAAGAGAACTGTGCTAGTGCTGGTATGGTACAGCAGGATGCCTTGCACAATGAATTCTAATGAATTATAAAATGTATTAATAAAGAGGCCTCATGCTGCATAGACAGAGCAAGTCATACTTAAGTAACACACTGTACAAATGTCTTTGTATTGCTTCTTGCTTCGGCTTCTTTCTTTTGCTTTTGCCAGGTGAACAACTGGAATGGAAGTAATCAGTAATACTGCAACTTTCTGCAGTTTACTACCAGTTCAATTTTGAGAACCTCGTCTGCAATTAGAAAAATGTTTCAAAAGATGAATTGCAATTTGTAATTAATGAGCTTTTCATTATTTTGTAGACATAAGGAAGGTGATTATAGGTCATCAGTTCAACAAAGGGAAGATGGAAATTGGAAGTGTACCATTTTCATCTACTTTCTAACATGAAGCAATACAATAAGTCTATCTCACACAGATCTGCAGATATGTTTTTCTTTTGCCAGCTTTTTAATGTTAGATTGAAAGACAACAAAAATAAAACTGCTCACACTAACTCATCAGTGAAATGCAAATCTATACATTTTCTGTGATATTTTCTTCTGCTCTTTTATTCATTCTCTTAGATTTCTGGTCTGGGATTGTAAAATATTTTCAGCTACTGTTCTGATTTGTGTTTTATAAGATCTTCCTGCTGGCCCTGTATATATAAATGTCTACTGTGAGGGTGTCATTAAGACCACTGCACAGATTGAATATTATACTGCAGCAGAAGAGATTGAGCGCATCTTTCAGAAAGTAGCTGACCCAATAGCTTTTATTTGTCAGGTAAGTTGACTTTTGCATTAACTTAATGAAAAAAATAGAATGTAAGTGCCACTATGAGCTAAGAAAACATACACCATGATGTAAAGACATTTAATTGCATAGTAATTAATAATGATTCAGTAATAGCCTCGGGGTTAGAGGGGCCTGTCTCTGAGATGTCTAGCTCTAAACAAAGCAGGCAAGTGAAAACAAACTTTCCTATTTTGTTTTTCTCTAGAATGATACAAACATCTTTGGTACTGTATGTTCCCAATGAACAACATCCTGCATTACAGAGGATGAGAAGAGTAATGTAGCAATGTCTCTCTCCCTTCAGTGTTCTTTTGAGAATGTTCTTAAACCAGTAGAAACAAGTAATCTTAAGACATATTGCATTTGGACTGTTATTATTCATTCACTAGTAAATGGGATTTTTCTGGCATAGCTTGCACAGATAGCATCAAGTTGCTATTCATGTAGAGTTCATGTACAGCTGCTGAATTATCATTCATGTGGTTTGCTGGTTGTTGTGCAGATTCTTCACATATGTTTAGAAGAATTCAGGTTTTGAGCTGGATTTTAAATCAGCACAGCAGACTGCAGTGCTCTGCAGCATCCTTTGCCAATAGCACATAAAAAATAATAAGAAAACACTTATTTAAAAAGGGCAGAACCAGACGTATCATTTGTTGCATAGTGTGTAGCCAGAGCAGACTTGTGATGTCTGTATTTAATTGCAAAGCCAAAACAAAAATAATAGTCCCTGTTTCCAATGCAGACAGTCTCATTTTCCTGTGACAAATCTACCTTATATGCCACCTAAAGCATTATACACATTAAAAAAAAGATTAATAAAAAATGATGTATTGCATAATCTGTATTCTTTTCAGGATGAGTGTTGATTGTTTCTAAATACAATTCTCTTGGCTCTAAGCAAACAGGCCGTTGCACAGGAGGATAGTGTAACTCTAAATACAAGGACATTCTTATGATCTTTATAATATCAATCCTTGATGGGGCATTGAAGTAAGCTTCTAACAGGTTTATTTAAAATTTTATGTATAAGAAGCGTGTCCTAATGATTAAAAAATATAACTAGCGTGGAAACTTAGCAGGTGTGCTGTAGGTATCTATTTCTAGTGGAGATTAATTTGTCTTGTTCAGGAATCTGGCCCTTCATTTAACTGCATGCCTAATATTTAGTAAGACATATGCAATTCAAATTCTGTAGAAATGCAAACATAATTATGTGCAGAGCTATAGCATCAGAAAATACAACTGTAGTGTTATCACTATCAGGTATGTTTAAAAATCTGCATGCCTTTACTCATCTGAATAATAAGAAAGGATTTAAATGAGGAGGTATTGTATACCTCAGTCTTAATTTAATTATATTGACAACTGGAAAACCAGGTAAAATTTTCATACACGAGTGGGTTTTTTACAACCCAGACAGTATGATGGCTGCTTTGCAGGAAAGTACTCTAATGGTAATTCTTCTGTGAGTTTGCTGGAAGATTTGTCATTGTATTTAATGGTACCCACTGGGCCATGCAGTGAGGTATATTAACTGGCTGGGTAGCTGAACTATTTCCACAGACTTTTTAAATACTTTAAGCCTCCACGTAAACCTGATTTAATGGCACTAAGATACATTGTAAAGATGCAATTTACAGAACATGATTTAACTTAATCTTTAAAAACGTGTTCACACAAGGAAAAACAAAACCTTGGTACTAATTAGAATTCCCATCAAGTAGCAGGAGTAGTAGTAACTTTTATTTAACTAGAATAATTAAAACCTTTGAGACTATCAGCTTACTTGCAAAAGTATCCTGGGGAATCAGTGGTTTATCTATGCAAAGTAACAATGAAACACAATAGAAAACAAAATTAAAATAAAATAGAAAAGCTTACAGCAATTGTTGATCAAAGCAGTATCATTCTGTGGTTCAAATGAAAGTTCAAGATTTTCACAAATGCTTGTAATCCTTATTAAAATTCTGCGATACAAGGAAATTGCTACAGTAACGCATACCAAAGATACAATGGTTTGGTAAAATGCTTTCATTGTACTGCTGACATCTGCAGCAATTTTGAGGTGATATCAACTCTCAGACTGTTGTTCTCTTCTCCACTTTGGCCCACAGTAAAACCCAAGTAAGTAAACCGAATAGGCTTACAGTTATCTGTTCCTTTCACCGATGGTCAGATCAATTCATATGCCTCAGTGGGAGACCAGGAAGATACAGTCATGCTGTTCCTCTTAGTTGTTCTTTATCTTTAGGTAGGAATTAAAGATTAGTAGTAGTTATAGTTAAGAGAAAATGTGTTCTATGATTTTGCAAGTCATTTTTTGGGTGACATTCTTTGCTTCATCTGATAGATTGTAATTTTCTGTGTTCCTTATTCGTAAGAACCTATAAAAGTACTTAACTTTGGCAAGACATTTTAAACAGCCAAACAAATGTTGACAGTGTATGAAAATAGTAAAAATGAATCGTTTCTTTCAAAAAGTTTTGAAGAAAGCAAACTGAAGATTTATATTAATGTATGAGGAGTTGAGATTGTTATAACTGAATCATAATTCTGAACACACTTGTATCAGAACACATGGGGCTAGATATAGGCAGAAGGCCTCTTGCTTTTTTGTTCTCTCACGTTAACATTAGTTCTCCCGAGGAATTTATGTTCTTATAGTAACCTGTGGAACAGACTGTTCTTAAGTTTTTATAATTCATAAATACACTTTTTTTTTTTTTTAAACTTACAACTCTTCATTTGAACATTCTGCTGGATTTGCATGCTGTATTGATTTTTCTCTCAGACTTTCTACCAAGTGCAAGTGTTGATTAAATTATTAGTGTTGGGAGTTTCTTGGTACGTTCGTTAGGTTTTCAATAAAGGGAAATTCAGGTTGTATCCTTATTACTGAAGGTGATAGGTTCCTTTTAGCTTGAGTGACTTAGAATATCCAGAGAGATTCAGAAGATCTTTGAGAAACACTGGCTGGATAATAATACAGTTATGAGGGCCTATGATTTAAACAAACAAACAAACAAAAAACCCCACAGCTCAAAAACTTCTTGATTTTTTTTTTTTTTTTTTTTTCTGCTAGTCATCAAATAAGATTCCAGTTACAATGTTTATTGATAAAAAGAAAAATGAAAATAAACTGCCCCCTTTTCTATGAAAACTTAAGAGAATTAGCTGTATGACTCATGTGGAGATATTACATATGTACCTTTACCTGATCCGCTAAGATACTTCCTTCCAAACTGTTTTTAGTATTGCTATCTTCTAAGCCACATCAGTAGCTGTTATTTTAAAATGTTTATTTCCTTTCCTCTAAATATGAAATCTCTCCATATTCCATCTCTGGCTGAAGATGTAAGAAGTGACCTGCCTAATTTGAACCCTAACCCTTGCTCTCTGGTAGGAGAAATATATTGAAGTGCATATAAAGCAGTATCTGATACATAAGAACTACTGAAGTAGCTCATATTTATGTAAATGTAACCTTGTCAGTACTGCTAAAGCCAGTGAAAAATATGTTAATTTACTGTCTGTAAGCTATTTCAGTGGCACACATTTTCAGGACTCTGTTAGCAGTTATTACAGGATGTAGGTCATCTCATTCATAAAAGTAGCAAAATCTATGCTTGCTCTTTTCCTTTTTTAAGGAAGTTTTTGATGTGATGCCCCAGGTGTGATGGACAGCACTCAGGGCTGCTCTGTTCTTCACAGCTATATCCTATTGCTCTGAGAAGGGGGCAGGGGACTGGAGATAACATCTGCACCTGGGGAAGAGGTACTAGATAAGGACTGACTGCTGGTGAGAGCCCTGGGGCATGCAGGAGGACTAACATTGGAGGGGAGGCTTCTCTAGGCTTTAAGGCTTTGCCTTAGAGAGCATGGGAAGAACTGTCTAGAAACTTACTGGCTTAAATCTGAGTGGCTCCTGGAAAGAAGAATGTTCCCAAGGGTACACAGTCAGAAAAACAGCACTTCTTTTCTGCCGTAATTTAAATCTATTTTCAGATTAAAATTTGGGCTTTCTCAAATTTCTGTCTGGCTTGATGCTAACCCTTGCAGCATGCTTAACGTAACATGCTGTCCCACTCCTGATGGCTTTTCAGCATGGATTTGTGTAGTGTGTTTGGAATTTCTCAGGAAGGCTGAGGTCTTTAGACCTGTAGAGAATTGTAGAGGGCATATCAAAATACATAAATGCAGCTGTGGAGCAGAAATGAGTAAGACCTTTAAACTAAATTCCTTCCTGGTAGAGGTAGGTGATGACCCTTTCGATCATGGACCTTTCTCCTTTTAGCTGGGTAGGGCAGACTGGTCCTATTGCTAGTTCTGTGTCACTGTTACATCTGCTAAGTTACTGTTACTTCACATAACTAATGAGACTGCTTTCCCAGGTGTGAGATGCAAGGTATTAGCATACATATTTTTTTGTAACAGTTAAACTGGATTTTCCTATCATGTCTTTTTTGGAGCATAGAAGAGCAAATCTAGTCATTATGATTCAATTTACAAGATAGCTTTTTAAATCATGTGCTTGAGCCTTTAGATTTCAGATCCCTGGAGGTAGAGAAAAAAATTGAGAGAAAACTTGAAGCAAATTGCACTATGATAACCATGCGTAAGAAGGATGTGCCTGCCTTTAAATTCCTAGGAATGGATAGCCTGGTCATTGTAAGGCAGGATTGTTAAAGCATTAGAAATATATTTCTTATCCAATTTAGGCCCTTTTTGGAGGTCAAACATCCTGGTTTCAGAATCTTGTAGAAATTGAGCTCACTATATCTGGGTAAGCCAAGTAACCATTTATGACCTTGAAAGTTTTGCTATGAGTTTCTGAAATTGTATGCTCTTCTCATTTCAAGAACTTGCTCCATCTCATGTAAATTTGATTATCAAAGTTCAAAGTCAGTGCTATATGTTTCCAAGGTACTCCTCCCGCGGATTTCTGCCTGAATAAAAAGGGGAAGGAGAGGTTCCTTATCTGATCATATTTAAAGCGGTGAACCTTGGAAGGGATAACCTTGAGTGCTTTCTGAAAGGAGATGACTTTTGATATGCAAGACAGTCTGAAACATGCTCTGTTTGAAACTGCTCCTCAGGCATTTCAGGAAAGGTAGTTGTTGATTGATTTATTTTGTTCTTTTTTATTTGGAACAGGGAAATTAAAACTAATATTACAGATCTAGCTCATCTTGAAGCCAGCCTATATATTTATTCACTGAATGCTGGATTTTCTGCTATCCAGTTGCTTTAGTGAGTACCAGTGATTTTGAGCCTCCTTTGTGACAAAGCTTTTTCCTGTATGCTCATTTCATCTCTTTCCTATATTATCACTTGTTGTAAAATCTCAGAATGGTTTGAGTTGGAAGATATTTAATTCCAACTCTCTGCCTTAGGCAGGGACATGATCCACTTGATCAGGTTGCCTGAAGCCCTGTCCAACCTGGCTTTAAACACTTCCAGGATTACCTTTGTCCTAATCTGGTTTGAAACCTATTAAAATAGTGCCAGTGTTGATACTATGTCTAAAATATCTTCTTGGGATGAGAGAGTAGTGTGGTTTCCTGAGTTATAGTATTATTGTTCTTCATAATTTTTAAATATGATGAGACTATTTATGTTAATAGGCTTTTTGGGGGGAGGATGTAGACATTTAGTAGACATTTATGAGGTTTGCAATTCCCTCTGTAAACGGAATGCTCAGGTTAGGTCTTTATTCTAGAATATGCTTTTGGGAATTTCTCTTCTAGGAGGTGTTGTTTGTGTTTTTTTTCTTGTACAATTATTTTTTGGTTTGTTTTTTTTTTTTTTTTAGCAAGTCTGTATGGTAACAATTATAGAAAATATGCAATGTTACAGTACAGAAAGTGTGAATATAGAAATAAATAGATCACAAGTAACTATATGCAATGTTTTTTATATATCAAAATTAACACTTTATAGGAAAAATGAACAATCATTTTATTGATCTTAACTCCATTTCCTGCACAAACTCGTCACTAAATTCTGGGTCATTCATGTAGAACTCAGACTATTATCCATATTATCCTGCCAATGTACTCAACATTTTCTGATCGCATAGAAATTTTTCTTATTTACTCTTCACAGCATTAGGAATTAAACTGCATGTTCCATCAGTAGACATCTTTTCCCTTTTCCTCAAATTGTCAGCCATTGAATTTCTTTTTAAGTTTATATATACTAAGCATGTCTGCTGATACATCTGCTAGCAATCTAGAGTTTTCTTGTCCAGAAACACTTCAGATATATGAAGCAAAACATTGTAATGCAGGGTTACTGAGCAGTGTAAGCCAATTCCTTCGGAGTGCCTCTCTGCTGTTCCCGAGCTTCTTTTGATGCCCAGTGCAGCTTAAACTGTGCTAGCTCTCTAGGGCTTAATTCTTCCAGTTTGAATCCCTGTAATCACACTTCTCATCACACCAGGAAAAGTAGCATTTAATTATGACTACCTTGAGAGTAATTAGGAATGGATCTTGGCCTTTTGTCTAGACAGAATTAGGCAATCAAAAAATGTTCTCATAGCAGTCAGGATTTTGCTTGTCTAAAGACAAAGTGCTTAGTTGGAAGATCATCTAACTGATTGCTTGCTATCAGTTTCTTAATCTGTCAGCAATGTTAGCCCATGGCTGATGGAACTGATGCTGTTTGCTACCTGGCAAAGCACACAATCTTAGTGTAACAATTTCCAGTAACGGAGTGCTACTGTATTGCTTAAACCCATTCTGAATTACTGCTATAATGACTCCTTGAATTAATTGTTAACTGGCATCTGTCAGAACAGCTCCTGGGTTATTGGACCATGTTGTCATACAAATCTTCCTGTCTCTACCCTTCACAGAATCACAGAATTGTAGGGGTTAGAAGGGACCTCTAGAGATCATGTAGTCCAACCCCCCTGCAAAGAAGGCTCCCTAGACCAGGCTGAACAGGTGGCTGTCCAGGTGAATCTTGAACATCTCCAGAGAAGGAGACTCCACAACCACTCTGGGCAGCCTGTTCCAGTGCTCCGTCATCCTCACTGTGAAGAAGTTCTTATGCACATTTGTGCAGAACTTTCTATGCTTCAGCTTATGGTCATTTCCCCTTGTCCTATCTCCACATACTGCTGCAAAGAGTCTGGACTCATCATTTTGCCTCCCACACCATAGATATTTATAGACATTGATCGGATCTCCTCTCTATCTTCTTTTCTCAATGCTGAACAGACCCAGGTTGCTCAGCCTTTCCTTTGAATAATCTGATTCACAAGCAACCTGAGGATAAAGTTAAAATTGCATGTGCAACGAATGCAGCTTTTATTTATTTGTCTTTTAAACAGACTTCTAAGTTTTCATCTATGGAGAAGCTGGATAATGTTCTGACTTTGTTACTGGAAAACAAGATAGTTAGTTGTGAATTCAGCGCATGCCAAGGTGAAGAGCAGCACCATCAACAACCTCGTGAGTCCCTTCCTTTTCACATTGATTTTTGTTACTGCTGCAATGGTTATTACTTATAAATGTTAATAAGACAATCTTTAAATATTTAAGACTGCTGGTGAAGTGCAAAAATCCACGATAAAGACAACATAACCAAGGCAGAAATGGGAAAAAAAAGAATTTTGTAAACCCTTACTTCTTGAGTCAGTACTTACGTAATTAGACTTGTCTGGTTGTTTGATCAGCTTTGAATTCACATTAACAGCTTTTCAGATTAGTAAACTTATACTCACAGAGAAAATAGGCAACAAGAGACATGATGAGGTGGCTATACATTGTGTATGTATTTTTCTTCTTAATTTCTCTTTTGCAGTACTCAAACTTGGCACTCTTATTTCAAACTAACAGAGAAAATCAATTTTTTTTATTATTATTATTATTATTATTATTATTTGAAGAGAGTGTGTTGCTTTTGAACTTAAAAGACCGTTAGGCGTCGCCACTGATTTTAGTAACTGTGTAGCTTTAGTAACTTATTGGTTACCAGTACTTTATTCTGGCCAAAAGCTAATTATATTGTTGAAGTATATGTATAGTGAATTAAAGTTGGATTTATTGTGAAGTAAATGCATTGTACGTACAATTCAGTAGTGTACCAACAGGAACTGCTGCTTATTGGAGGGCTTGGTTGAATTAATTAACCTCTTATTAAGGATTCAAATTCTATTACAGTAAACCAAGAAGTTGATTATTTAGTTTGTGTTTTGAAAAGCATCATTATGATGTTGTTTTTTTTTTTAAGAAACTGCAAGTTTCCTTTCTGAAATAGTTAAGAAGTATTTGAGTTGTTTGCTGACTTGTGTTTTGTGTAACCAGACCATGAGTTTGAGAGAAAAAATAAACTCAGTGTATTGAATGTAGAGCGTAATAATTTCCATAACCAAATATAACAAATTTTTGTGGTAATCTCTGCTGTGACCACTGTTGTGCTTTCTCTCATTTTTAAGTTTTTTCTGATGATGAATGTCACCCCTCTGTAGTAGATAAACATGATTTTTCTCCTTTTGCATTCTAAAAATGAGCTTAAATGTCAATCTGAACTGGAAGAAGCAAACAATTAGGGTGTGAAATGAAGTATTTACCCTTGCTGCAATTCTGTGCATAACTGCAGGACAGAGGTATATAGGACGTATTACAGCATAATTCTAAATGTGAGATGTTCATTCTGTTGGGAATAAAAAAAGTTTCTGCTTCTTTGGGAACTCTTTAGATCTAGGCATACTTATGAATATTGAAAATAATATTTATCAACCTGTAATCCTTTGCCTAAAAGTCAATGCATTTCAAGAACAAGCTTGTGAGCTTGGCTAGATTCTGACCAGTGATCTGTGAAAGACTGAACAAGGCAAAAATGGGGAGTCATACTGTTCTTGTTTTTTTTTTTGTTTGTTTGTTTGTTTTTGTTTTTTTACAAACCAGTATTTCAGATGATTGTCACTGGTATATTTTTCCATGGATAAGATCAGTTTCAGTTACTTGTTTTAGATGAAACATCCTATTATAATAGTTGCTGTAGTCATCAAAAAGTAAAGCAGGTACCAGCAAAATATTGTTGGAACTGCTCTATCTGTAAAAGCTTGTCAGAGATAGAATGCACATTTCAGATTTATACTGTTCCCTTTTTAGTTTTTTTATTGTTTTTTCTTATTACTAGCATTCCTTCATTTAAGATAAAGACTTTTTTTTCAGTTCATCAAGGAGAAGAATGTTTAAATAAGTGATATTTGAAGGCATGATCTCTGAAGGAGAGAACCTGGTCAGCTGAAAAAGCTGATAGACTGAGCAGAAGCCTGTGGAAAAACACTGTGGTTAACATTACAATATTAACCAAAAAGAGATCTAAGATCATGTCTGGCTTTTTTGTGATGGTAGTGAGATGCCTTCTCCTCCATCTTTTATGGAAGCATGTAACTAAAGCTGGAGATACTGTCCTGAAAGTTGTATAATCTGTACAAATCTGCTTTCAGGATACCTCATGTGTGTATTATTCCTCTGTAGTCTGGTAAAAGACTCCAGTCAGAACACGGTAACTAATCCAAACTGGTATTTCAGAACTCTTTTTGAGTTGGGGAAGTTCTAAATCTAATCTTCAATTTTCAGACTTATGAATTCTTGATGTGTTCATTTCTGAGGTCAAAGAAAAAACAGCTTACCTGAGGAAAACCTGTCTTTTTTTCCTCTCTCAGTGAACTGTTATCTGCTAACATCACTGTAGTTAAACTCATATGTTGAGGCCTCTTTAAAATTGTGATTTACTTATTTTATAGAAAATACTGCTTTTTGTCACCTAACGCTACAGGCAACATACATTTTATCCTGATTTTTCTGATTCTTTCTTTCAAGCTGAATGACCAGTCTCAAAAGAATGGATTTAGGTTTCTAGCTGCTAATGAAACAAGGTGAAAAGACAGGCAGGTGAGAGGAAACAAAGTGCTCTGAGTGTTTCCTTGATCTAATTGACATTGACAGTATAGAAATCATTTTAAATGTGTATTTAAATTGCTAGTAGAAGTAACTTCCTGTATCAGTAACTTCAGAAATAAAAGAAGTATGTCTTAAAAGTCTGCAGAAGTATAACTGTAGGCTGTTCTGTTTGCTTACTGCAATGTTAGGAAAATTCCCACAGGCTGAAACAGTGCTACAATAAAGTAATATTAGATTTTGTGCTCTGTTTTATAGCTGAGGTGTTCCAGAATGCTCTATAGAGAAGAGGAGAGAAGGGATTATGACAGAACAAAACTGCAACCCCCATTTAACCTTGTGTGTGCCAGCTAAAGCATTTAAGAGCAAGCACTTATGAAAGCAAAGCTTTCAGTTAGGTGAGGAAGTTACCTTAATGAACTTTAAAAAAAAAAAAAAAAAGCCACGTGGTCACTGTCTCTGTTCCTGCTTATGGAATCATTAAGGTTGGAAAAGATCACTAAGATTTTCTTGTTCAGCTGTTGGTGCATCGCCACCATCATCAGCTTTTGAGTTCTCAGTGTAGCTGCCTACCGATCGCAGCTTTTCTTCATTAATATTCTTCTGTAAAATAAACTAAAAGTGGTGAACTTCTGTTTACCCCAGTGACTACTTCTTTTGTTCTGTTGTGTATTTTTTTAACTTAAATATATTGGTTGTTCAATTTCACAACTGGTAGAAGTTCCGGTAATTTTCCCAAATTCACTGTGACAAAGTTGCAAGCTCATGAAAGCTTTCCTGCCTTAAGCATGTGTGCATTTAATGAATTCTGGTATTGCTACTATGCATAATGCACCATTTCAGTTACAAGAGTTAAACCCAGCAAGATAGAAATTTCTATGCAGTACAACATCTGATTTGTCATAGGAGCACATTAAGCTCTGAATTGGCAATTTAGAAAACAACTATTATTTTAAAAATGAATTAGATCATTCAGTGTGTTGTTCTTAATTGTTTGTTTTTATAATGGTAGCTGTAGTTGTCAGTGACTTTGCTATAATTTGTGAAAAAGAGATTCCTTCTTCACCTTTATCTGGTGACTTAGGAGGCATTTAAACAGCCACTTTAGACACTTTTCAGAATAAGAGCAAAAAGAAAGACCAGTAGGTTTCAATAATCTCTTTTGAGGTCGTTAACTTTACTATTTTTAAGTTAAATGTGTTGTTAGGGGAGGAATTTCTGGGAGATCAGGTCCAAAAATGTCTCTGACCCACTGCAAGAATGTCAAAGGCATTAACTTATGCAGAATGACTACTGGTACTGCAGCTGCACGCAGAAATGGGTGTTAAAGTATTATGGAGGTGGGTGAAGGGAACAGCAGACTGGGCAACTATGTGTATAACATTTATCAGCAGAGCAACCATATTCAGATGGCCTCAAATACTCAACAGTTCGAAGGCATCTATCACTTAGACTTGGAAAACTTTGGCCCATGCCAAAATTTGGTATCCTTCTTAAAATGCTGGAAACTGCTAGGTGAGCCGCTTAAAATGGCTTAGCACAGCAGAGTGTTAAAAACTGTTTTAAATGGGTAAACTCATTAACATCATGTGACGGTTGTCACAATAACTTGTGACAAGTCAGGGGCTTCCTAATCCCAGCTGGTGATCTATTTATCTTAAATAAATAAAATAAAAAGTAAAAATCACTCTAGTCTTCAAAAAGGGCAAGGAGGACCCAGGGAACTATAAGCCAGCCAGCTCTATACCTGAAAATGTGCTGTATAATGTAAAATGTGATGTATAATGTGAAATGCGCTGTATAATCTGCATGTCTCATAAGGACTGGGATATAAGGGAAAACTCAAGAAAAATAACTGAAAGAGAAACTAAATAAATTATTTGTATGAGTGTTTGCTCTAAAAGAAATTGTGTAGATTTCGGAATTATAGTGCTGACTGGGAGACAAGAAGAAAGGGGCTGCAGTTAAAAGAATCATAAATCAATAGCAAAAATCGGCAGGACTAGAAATTAGCAGGACTAACTTGTATTCAGTCAGTGTTCTGAGGGAACTGAAGAATGAAATAGCAGGATTTCTAACAGCAGCATGCAGTTTTTCAGTTTTGAAGTACTAGAAGTTGTAAATGTGCTGCCAAAACCTAGTTTTGCTAGGAACTTGACTAGGCAATTAATATAAACTGTAATAAAATAGAAATTCTGTGGCACTTGAATTGCATAATTTTTCATGTTGATAATATTGATAATTAAAATAATTTCCTGCTATTCTTTTTGATTCTGCAAACATGTTCAATTTGGTCATTGGTTGAGTATGGCTGAATAATTGTCCAAAAACCCAGAGGCAGATGACATGAATAAAACTTAACCTAATAGTGCAAAGTATTCAGAGTAGTAAGGATTAGGACTGCTTGGGGAGTAGTGAGGAAAGGCCTTGTGAGATTTAATAACTGTGCCGTAAGATGACAGATGGTATTCAGCATAGGTAAAAACAAAGTGATGCAAGAATCCTATGTTGTCATAGAAAATGAGAGGCTATGAGCAAGCTAGTAGCACTCAGGAGAGAGACATGCAATTCCATGATAAAGTCAACTGGTTGCTAGGTAGCAGATCAAAAAGCAAATGAAATTAGGAATTATTAGAAAGGGAATAGAGAACAAAATATAATTATGACAGTGCCTAAATTCATAGTTCACCCATAAGTTGAGTATCATGTGCATTTCTTCTCCTGTCATCTCGAAATAATTATATTAAAGCTGGAAAAGATTCAGAAAAGAGTAGTGAGGGTGATGGAATTGATTCTCTGTAGGGCACAGCTAAGTACACTGGATCTCTTCAAGAAAGAAGTTCAGGGAATAAGTCATGGAAAGTGGAGAGAGGACAGAGAGAAGGAGTATAAAATGAATTAGGGACTAGCAATAGAATCTAGCAGCGATCGTATTGAAAACAGAATATGCACTTCACACCGACAAACCACAGCGGGACAAGCAGCAGGTGATTAGAAAGTATAGTATGAAGGTAGAGGGAAATACTATTTATGCTTAGTCTCTCATTTGTAACTTGTGGCTTCTCTTAGTTTTAATACATGACCAAGTGTTGAAATTATAAACTTAGTTCTGTTTTGTTTTGTCCTGGTTTTCAAAGATGAAATGGAACGTGATGAAAATGAATATCATGCTATTTCAGATACATTCTGAAAACTTTTGTCTGATGCATCCATCTGTTAATACTCTGACTTTTTCATTGTTGTTGAGCAAATTTTTTCAAGTCTCTGCTAGTCATGACAATTTTCAGAAGTGAATTGTAATATGAAAACATAGGGACGTTTTTGTAGGTTTACAGCGCTTTCAGATTTCTCAGATGGAAAAATGTTTCTAAAGCATTAGATAATACACAACTTTGTAAAACTGTGTCATGGCTATAGGATTTTTTTCCCCTTGCAAGGAAATTTGTTTCTTAGTAGACTGAACTCCCTCTTTTTTTTTTTTTTTAAAAGTGATAGGGATCTCTTAATTATGCTCAATTATCCTTTATTAAGATACGCATGTGATTTGTATGTCTGTTTAGGCTGAATAGGTGGGCTGAAGCCAATTGTATGAGCTTGAACAAGACCAAATGCCAAGTCCTGCATTTCAGTTACAAAAACCCCACACATCACTGCAGGCTTGGGTTGGAGTGGCTGGCAAGCTGCAGGGAGGAAAAGGATCTAGGGGAGATTAGGGTTGGATATTTGGAAAAATTTCTTCTCAGTGGCGAGTTATTAGAACAGGCTGCTCAGGGAGGGAACAGAGCCACTATCACTGGAGGGTCTCAAGAAAAAGGTAGATGATGCACTGAGTGACTTGAGCAATCACAGCCATGGTTTGAGATTGGACTAGGTGATCTTAGTGGTCTTTCCAACCTTTATTTTTTTTTTTTACAAATCATAGAATCATGAGGTAAATACAATATAATATACACGAGGTAAATACAATAAATATATAAATATATATGATATATATACATTTATATATATATTATATGTATAATATATGAATTTTTTTTATATATACAAATTTCATTTTTAGTAATTGTTCTTTTGGTGCTTGTTCTGTGCTGGCAGTTTGAGAAACTGTTATTCTAAATATATTAAATATAATATTCTAAAGACTTTCTGTAATGGAAGCTGATAGGTGTTTTATAAGAGCAAAACTGTTTTTATTAAAGATTTGGTTTTTTATACAGATAGCCATTTGGAAGAATTTCCCACTCTCCTCCACTGTGCAGCCAGATTTGGATTAAAGAACCTCACAGCAGTTCTGCTCAAGCATCCTGAGGCCACAAGGGCTTGTAAAATAACCAATATAGATGGAGATGTTCCAGCAAGTATAGCTGAGAAACATGGACACAAGAAAATAAGAGAATTAATCAAAGAATTGTCGGTAGGTTCATGTGCTTTTTCTTTTGCTATCCATAGCCAGATAACAATGAAGTTTCCATTACTGAAATTGCCTAATACTTCTTTTGTAAAGCCTTGCACATTGTTGTCCTCCTACTGTAAAATACTATATTCTTTCTGTCTCAGGAAGAGGGATCAAGATTGGGTACAGCCACTTTTTCTGCACTGTTGTAATGAAGAGTTTCTATGCTGCTTGAATTTTAGGCGCTAAATGGAAGGAGAACAGTAGATCAGCAGATCAGAAGTACCTGATGTGGCCTGAAAACATAGTTAGATCTTTGTTTCCAGCACCATGTGATTGTTATATTGTGAATAGCCTAGCCCAATCATGTAGATTAGTAAAATACAGATATCTACTTCAAAATCACTTTCTACTTTCAGAATCTCCTCTTCCAAGTCTGTTGAGACCATTTGCCTTTGAACATGGAGTGATTAAGCCAGAAGTTTTAGTTGTCCATTAGCCAGTCATCTTGGATAGACATAGAACTAAAAATGAATTTGAAGAAATATACAATAATAGCTGTGTAGATTATATAGGGGAGAATTTCTAACACACCTGGTGAGGAAAGTGCAAGAAACCTTTAAGTGAGTTAAGCTAGAAAAAGATATAGTAAAGAATGAAAACACTGGCTGACTGAGATTAACTATTATATCTGTAGAACAAGGACATGGGAATTGATCAAGTTTTGTTTGTTTTTAACTTGATGCAGTTGTCATCTAATGTAAAGGTAAAAGAGAAACACTGCAGAAAAGTTTTCTGTAGTCAGTGTTGAACTGTGAAGGTGACTTTAGCAGTGTATTATGATCTGATCCTCTTAAAATTGGTTCAAGGGGAAGAAAATTGCAGCCTGTAGTGCCTGAGAGTAAGACATTTGGCAATGGCCAAGGTGCTGAATGAGAATGTGCTGTTTCCCCTTTTGTTGTTATTAAACATCTGTTGATACAGACTTTTAAATAAAACTGGGGGAGGGAAAATATCTTCTAAGCAGGAAGTTCATACCTGATGGAGAATGTGATGTGGCCTCTTCTCTGAGGTGACGGGGTGTATTTCATTACATTTAGTGATACAGAGGTGATGCCTTTATCTCAGGTTTTGATGCAGTATTTAAGATCAAAATTAACTGAAGAATATTGGTCCTCATTACCATCTGGCATAAAGCTGTCCGTGAAGCCATACAAAGGCTGTTTTCCTGGATTAAAGTGTTAGTGAAACTCTACTGCTGTTATAAGAATGTGTAGTCTGAGTAGGATATGTGGTATACTTCACATTTTTATCTGATTTGAATACCATGGCTCGCTAATGCAACCAAGTAAAAACCGGAGCATACTTCAAGTCTGCTAAATGTGTAATATGGCATTTTAGAAATGTTAGCTCCAACCTCAGAAGAAAAGTGGGTTATTTGTGTCCCCTGTAATAGTGCACTTAAGAACAAAAACACTTACTGTACTTCTGTAATTGATGGGAATGTGGAGAAGAAATACTTGCACGGCTCTGAGCCAAGCAAAATTTAGTTTAATCATAATCTAGGGACTTCCTGTTACAATTGCAGTATAGAAATTGCTCATTATTACAACAGAAGTACCTTTGTACTTTGCATACCTCTCACTGTTTTAAAATTGTTACCTGTGTTATGCCATTCCTTTTAAGAATAGTTGCAAGATATTCACAATAATTCATTACTTCTATCTCAAAGAGCACTAGGGTTCCAGAAAAATGAATGTGTTAAATATATGTTCAGTTTGTCTAAAAACCTGAGAAGTGCCTTTCATTTGCCTTTGTACCGGGGAGTCCTTTGGAGGAGTCAGAATTTCTTAAGATGCATGGTTAGAGAGAGAAGGCAGCAAAAGGGGAAGGGGCTCCTGTAGCTACTATTTATACCTTCAAATCCAGAGCTTTAACAGGCTGGCCTCTTTGGTGTATGCTCAACACACCTGTGTTTGGAGCTTTCTGGTGATGGAGCTTTGCTTGTTACACCCTTCATGCCCAGCAGGCGTATTGCAAAGGTGCTGATGGTTCTGTTGGACGAGGAGACTTGTAGGACCTAACTTGCATGCTTGTTTGTCTGTGGTACAAATTCCCTGTGTTCGTTTAAAAATCTATTTTCTGGAGATGGATGCTGACAATGCTGTGGGGCGTATTACAATCACAGCAAGCAGATCTGGCATGATCAGCTGACATGCCAAAAGCTGATCTTCCGGTGTAAGCACAAAGCACAAGGGAGGGATCACATAGTGCATGTAGCATGCTTCTGTTGATATAGCTGCATGAGAGAGTCAGGAAGAGATTTTCCTCTTCTAGAAAAGTGTTAGATTCAGGAATGTTTGATGCTGAAGCATCACACCATTTAATAGCCTGTATAAATGGTGCTCCCCAAAGCAGTAGTGTCTACCTTGTCTCTCGGAATTCTGCTTTTCAAAAGCTCCTTGAAAATGTCTCCCATGCATCAAGGGAACATTGCATGAATCAGTCCATTTGTGTTAAAGGTACTAAGTTGATAGAGCAGTCTCTACAAGAGAATCTGCTTCATGGGGATTGTGATAAGGCTCTGTCTCAAATATGTAAGTAATTTGTTAAACCATATTTTTCTTGTATTTTAGTGCAAAACTACTTAAATGGGCACTCATTTCCAATTCTAACACGTGTTTCATTTGAGCTTCAATTAAGTTCAGTTACTTCTTCTGTGGCATAAAACAGGAATACTGCTTAATGTTCTGTGATAATGTTCTGAATTGTCACTTTCTCTTGTGATATCATTCCTCTGTAGAACCAAGGGCTTGAATGTTTTCTATTATTGCTTTTAGCTTGAATTGTTTGAATCAAGTGTGTGAATTTAAAACTAGTAAGAGGAGTAAGTAACTAGAAATACTGACAAGAGTCCCTGTCTCAGAATTTGAAGAGGAGAAAAGATGAACCTTTTAAGCCATTGCTTCAGCTAACAGCTCAAGTTTCTCTAAAAATGGCTTGGTCATTATGATGCTTGCTTGCCTACATAAAAGTTCTGTTTACAGAAAATAAAGAAAAGAAATTCTTATCCAGAACACAAAGGAAAACTTCAAAGAGTACATGAGAGCAAATTTTTGAGCATTAGGTGACTAATAAGGGAAGTATATACAATCTGTGACCTGACCATTTAGAACTGGAGGTTGTACTGATAGCCACTCTAGGCATGTAAGGTTTGGAATGGACATCATTCTTTATTCTGGCACTTTGGGATGCTAATTTCTCCTTTCCTTTACTGTGCTACTGACTGGGTCATTCAGGAAGATTACTGTGTGCCACTTGTAGCATGTCACCATTTCTAAGAAAAACACAATTCAGAAAGTGGTTTATTGGATGTTAATGCAGATAATTTCTATTGTTGGCTATGGCCTTTAAAGAAGTTTCCTAGTGATAAAATAAATGTTACTTAATATTAATATAAAATAATAATATATTTTATATATTTTAATATAAAAATTGTAATAATTGTTTCATGTTGCACTATGCAGTCAAGACAGCACAACTTGAATTTGATTTTTAATATATCTTCTGGCTTTTCTGGAATTGGCTGTTGAAAATTTGAGGCAGAAAATAGAGGTTTGCTTTTTTAATCAAGACCTGTGGCCAACCCTGTGACAATGCATATCAGAACAGTGGGTGGATGGAAACATTCCCTCTGCTACCAACAAAACCTTGTCTGGATTTCCTAATATTTTTCTGCCTGCCTGCTTCAGGTGTCTCTCTTAGGCAGCCACTGAAAAAATAGTAAATATTTAATCCTGCACATTTTAATGAAATTTCTGTGGATTCAGGTAGACTGGAACAGTCCCCTCAAGTTAGGCCTTTTGGTGAGAAGTCTGTTTTCTTTTCCAGAAGAGAGAGTCGCATTAAATTTTTTTTAGCTGTTGAAGGTCTTTCTGCAAAGTCTAGCTTTGTAGTTATTGGGTTTTCTGTTTTCAGCAGTTCTCTCTGTAAGACAGAAGAGGATAATCGTACAAGGAGCATAATTTTCATTCAGAGCTTATTTAGAGGAAGACATGTTAGATAAATGTTGGGGATGAAATTGTTTCTGCAATAGCAAGCTGTATTTTTATAAATATTTGGGATCTTAAAGGATGGGTAACTCTGTAGGCTGACATAATTCATCATTGTATGTTTCTCTCCTCATATCCATGTCTTATTTTGAAGTCATTGTTGAATCAGCATCCAAAATTTCTTCAATTTTTTTTTTTAAATAGGAAATAATCCACAAAAAAACAATGTACTGTGGAATTTGAGGGCTTTTTCTTTTTCTTTTGCTTTTTATGCAAAACGAATATATCCTGGCTTTTTAGCTACCATCTTCAAAGGCCAGTGAATCTTTAGATGGTGGGAATCCATTTAGCAAGAGTTCACATGGTTTGATAGAGAGTTCTAGAAGCTCATGAAATATAATTTTTTTCAAATACAAATTGTGTTGTGTGGTGTGTATTGTGTGTGTTGTGTTATGTGTGTATTATTCTTACAGCAGTGTTTGGCTTTCTGTTTTTTATAAAAGGCTGTATGAAAAGGTAGAGCTCCCTACCATGAAAATATTAAGTGTTCAAATCTGATTGCAGTCTCCTCCTAAGCTATTAATTTTCTGCTGGATAAGGACCATGTGTAACAAGATGATGTTGCATACATATTAAATAAACTTAAATGAAATTAACTTGATTGCTCTCAATATTTGCTTAATTCCTTTAAATACTACTGTAGTGTTGCACTTGTCCCATTGCTTGTTGCTCTCAGGTAGCTGGGAGAATTTTTTGAGAGAGAAGATTAATCTGGTTTTTAAAATTTGAGCTAATCCACTAGTGATTCCTCCAGAAGGGCTGCTGGGATAATATTCTTTCAGCAGTATTTTAGTGCTTAGAAATTTTGGTTGAATGCATCCTTTAGTATGCTGGAAGTTACTTAACTGAAATGAAGAGCTGAACACTGTTCTCTTTTTTGTACTTATTAGTGAGTAGAATTCACAAACC